CCCCCCATCCCACTTGACGTGTGCGTTGCCATGGTGGAAGTGGTTGGAAGAGCTAAATTTCAGTTTTTCAGCCTAGGCTTTGTTTCTCTCCGATAGTTGGACTGAAGGAATTTCAGTCCAAGTTGAGTAATTCCTACGGAATTTCAGTCAAAATATAGTAATTTCATTGGAACTTCAGTCCAGATTCAGTTCAAGTTTTGGTCTAAGTTTCATATTTCAGTTTAATTAACCATTTCAGTCCAATTTGGATGTTTCAAAATTAATCCTTGACTTTCGGTTTAACTACATTTTTCAGTCTAATGTCCATGAAGTCGGTGATAGTAGGATTGAAATTCATAGATTTAGACTGAAAGGTATTGGTCTGAACAAAAAGTTTTAAAGTTAGACTTTCCGTTAACTGAAGTTATTTGCAAGGAAATTTTTTTGTTGACATATACACACACAAAGACAGACATACATACAACCACAGACACAGACAGACAGACACACACACACACAAACATACACACAAACACGTGACAGGCACACACACACACACACACACACACACACACACACACACACACACACACACACACACACAATCACACGCACACAAACACACATCGCGCCTCGCTCCCCTTCGGCCTAGCACAGTCATACTTTTTTGAGTGTATCGTGAATATGACAGCATACACACACACACGCACACACGCACACACACATACATTCACACACAGTGTCACACACATACAAACACACACACACAGATACACACACACACACACATACACACAAACACAGAGATAGACAAACACAGACACACATACACACATATGACAGACACACACACAGACACACGGGGGCACACACACACATACACACACACACGCGTGACATGCACATGCACACACACACACATACAAACACATACACACATATACGCACACACACATACGCACACACACATACGCACACACATACGCACACAGACACACGAGCTTTTGCGTGTGGTGCACACAAACACACATCGCGCCTCGCTCCCCTCCAGTCTAGCACAGTCATACTTTTTTGATTGTATAGTGAATATGATAGCACACACACACGCACACACGCACACACACATACATTCACACACACACACATACGCACACACACACATACACACAAACACAGAGATAGACAAACACAGACACACACACACACAGACACATGAGGGCACACACATGTGACATGCACATGCACACACACACACACATACACACATACGCACACACACATACGCACATGCACACACGGGTTTCTGCATGTGGTGAAGCATGATGTGGAACCAA